GTGGAACAGTCAGTGCTGGGCGGGAAGAATTGTTGTAATTCGCCTCCAAGTTCCCCTCGGAAGATGCGTCTAGTGTAGATGAGGTCACCCCGGCGACGGCGGAGCTCGAGGGAGAACAGATTTAGCTTCTGGAGTCGAATTGGTTACGGGGGATCACGTAGCCCCAGAACAGCTTCTGACGCACGTCTCTGAACCTTTTCCAGCAGAGCGCTTTCAAACTTTGGAAGCGGATGGCTAGCTCGTAGGCCATATCCTAAGACTGATCGGACGTACGAAGTGAATAACGGTCGAAAAATCTCGGGAGTCATTCGAGCGAATGATCTTCTTAAGGCACCTATCAGTCTCCTTCCAGTGGCCACCTTCTTTAACGTGTCCTGCGTCGTTCTAAGGTCAGAAGTCACGATAACCCCGTGATCTCTCTCGTGGGTGGTATTCCTAAGGAGAAACTCACCAATGTGGTATGCACCGTAGGGTTCGGTGCCACCTATTGGGAGAACAGAGCATTTATCTTGGTTTACTAGCAGTTCCCACCTGATGGACCATTCGTGTAGCTGGTCTAGAGCCCCTTGTAGTCTGTCCGCATCCTCAATGCTGGATACTGTTGACCAAAGCTTGAGGTCATCGGCGTAGATCAAGCAGTCGGTTGGTAGCGCAGTCGGTAGATCGTTAATGTATAGTTTGAAGAGCTCTGGTCCAAGCACTGATCCTTGGGGAATGCCACTAGTCATGGGCACTGGAGCAGAGAGGATTTGGTTCACTTGTACGCGCATTGTCCTACCCCTTAAGAACACAGCAACCCAGGAGAGGAGAGTTCCTGTACTGCCAATCCCCTGGAGTTTATGTAGCAGTCTTACGTGTGGAACCTTATCAAAGGCTTTGCTAAAGTCAATGAATATTATGTCAACCTGTTTTCGGGTATCTATGGCTTCTGCCCATGTTTCCCTGGCGATGAGTAAGCTAGTGATGCATGAGCGTGCTCTCCGAAAGCCATGTTGAGCAGGTGAGATGAGGTTTAGCTGCACACAGTGTAGCTAGAGAGCGCCCTTGACTATTCGTTCCATGGATTTGCATACGACTGATGTCAGACATATTGGCCGATAGTTGGCTGGGTCTTGTTTGTTTCCCCCTTGTATTTGGGCAGGACGGTGCCTGCTTTCCAGCCTGTGGGTAGGCAGCCGACTTCGAGGGATTGCCGAAACACTTGGCAGATAGGGAAGGCGACGTACTCAGCTATCGTTCTGAGGAAGCTGGGATGCAATCCATCCGGACCTGGGGAGGAGTTCGGGTCCAGTTCGAGAAGTAGCTTAGTGACTACTTCAGGGTTAATTTCAATTTCTTGCATAGAGGAGTGGTGTGCAGACAAACAGTTGTTGAGCAATGGGGACTCCACTGAGTAGACCGAGGAATATTGCGCAGCCAATAGAGTTGCTTTTGCATCATCACCATAAAGAGCGGTACCTTCCTTAAAGAAGATAGAGCGGGGATTCCACTACCAGTTTTGGCATTTCGCTTCAAGTATGTAAAACGTTTCTTTGGACAGTTTTGGGATTCCATGGCCAGTCTATGTTCATATTGTAGTCTTTTGTCTCGTTTCCTCAAGGTGCATAGGTTTCTGACAGTTTTGTACTCTAAGTAGCTCGACGTCTGTCCTGTGCTCTTGAAAGGCTCCCATAGTTTTCGACGTTTTTTCATTAGGGATCTTACTTCTTTATCAATCCATGGGGGTCCTTTGGATGGTGGTCTGCTCTTGCAGTTTGGAACAAACTGTTCAACGAGCCGCAGCATCATAGCTCGCAGGCATTCCCACGCGTCATCAAGCTCTAAGAATTGCGGGATACTCCAGTCCATGTTACTTGCAGTCGTTCTTAATCTGGGCTGGTCAGTACGCCAGAAATTTTGACGCAGTGTCCCCTGATCGTGGATTGTAAGGCGTCGTGTCCACGGAAAGGAGAATGTACAGTGATCACTGGTCCCCGTAGGTTGGAGGATCGTTAGATCTGAGACATCAGATGGTGCCGAGGTAAGAACCAGTTTGTCTGTCACCTTCCATTTCTCCGAGGTCTGGAATTTCTTGGGGATCTGGGATCGGATCGTGAAAGAGCTTTTGGCTGGGACAGGACATAAAAACCCCCAAAGACCTACATAGAACACGGCTGTACAACAAGTGGATAAAAATGCACTCACTACCATGACCGTCGTCCAGTAATGGTAGCTGGACATGACGCCTTCATACTCCTGCGAAGTATACATAATCCTGTAAATTCCAGAAGCAAGAATCGGAAGTTTTGCTCACCTGGACACGAAGATGACGAAGGTCCAACCCTCCATAGGCCTCAGCCATTATGGCCGCCCCGGCTAAAAATAACCTGTTCAGCTAACAGAGGAAATTAGAAGGAAATTGACGGCGGTTAACCGAGGGTTATATCAGTCGACGAGCTGCTCTGCCAGTTTTACATTAGTGTACAAACGGATTTCCGACAGTGTTTCAGGACGTGGTGGGTTTTCGCCTGGCAAGCGTTCTCCCTATAAAAAGCCACAAATGTCCGCTTAACAACAGTGCGACGTGGCGGATGTTACTCGCCACTGAATAAAGTCACTGCCCACAACTACATACTGGAAAGCCGTCCAGAATCCTAATGTAATATTTTCCTGACAAGTTTTCTCTACAAACGGAATGCCCATCCTGTTTACACTACGCACACAAGTACCCAACTTGTCGTCATGTTTTGACGAATTTATACCTCAAGATTAATTTTACAATTTTAATGCTTGGACCACTTTCGGCTTACTGCCGATTACATACATAGCAACGTGTTTGTTGCGAAACATAATTGCTTGTAAACGTTGATCATGCCAGGTCCGGTGTGTCTCGGAAATTCGAGAATATACTATTTATTTATTTATTTATTTATAGAATTTTTGGTGTCTGACCAGGGACCATTCGCGTTGGTGTCAAGACATGCTGTGTCAGGTTGCACTCGTGAACGGTATCAAGGAGATCAACTTCAAAGAAGTCAGGTGAGAGATCACTGTGAAGTGGGTCCCAGATTACGTTGGGGGCGTGAAAGTCCCCCATAAGGAGACAATTTGTTCCTCTGCTGTTGGTTCGCACGGAACGTAGTAAGCGTGAGCCAGGTGCTGCAGGGGCTCTGTAGACCACCCCGACCATCAGCGACTGGTATCCGTCATGAATTCGGCAACAGAGCATTTCCGACCTGTCATCCTTGTCACAATCGGGTTCGACAATGTGGGGCTTGAGGTAGTTCTTTGTGTAGAGGATTACTCCGCCTCCAGACCTCCCACCAAAGCGATCGCATCGAAGTAGCTGAAATTCTGAAACATGAACCGCCGATTCAGATATGTCAGATGAAAGCCAGGTTTCGGTGAACGCCATTAGGTCCGGTTGCTGTTCAGAGATAAGGAGTGGAATCTCATCTAGCTTGTTTCTGAGACTGCGCACAGTTGCTAGTATTACCCGTAGTTCGTTCTTTATGTTTGAGGTCCTGGAAGAAGGAGGATTGACCTCCATCGAGCTCGCGGAGTTTTCTTGACTACGCGAAAATCCACTATGTGTAGATCAGTTTCTCCATTTGCGCGTCGAGTTCGCAGCTCGCAGACAGCTTGCCTCATTCGGACACGGTCCTCCGGGGTGAGGTCTTTCAGAACGTAGAAGATTTCTCCCTTGAGGCGCGGGGTCCATCTAAGGATGCGTTGGCATTCTTCTTCATTCTGACAGACGATTTTCAGAGGACGGAACTTGGCTGGGTCCTCTTGTTTTTTGCCAAGGCGAAAAGCAGAGATTAGGTTTATTCCTTGCTCACGCTCATCAAACAACATGGAGACCTTTCGTTTACGGAGGGCTTGGTCGTCGAGCATCCTTTCAGCTGGAGTCTCTTTGTTGCATGCTGGGACGTTTGTGATTATCAGACAGCGGTTGCGAACAGGCCGCTTGTCTTGTTCCGGTGATGTTGGCTTTGGTGGACATTTCTTTTCTCTGACAAGTTCCTCAAGCCGCGCTACTCTATTTAAGACGAGCTTTAGTTCCACGTTTTCGGTGCTTGCTTTTATCTTGGGTCGTGAGGAAATCTTTTTTGAGGCCTTGTTCTCAGCTGTGGTTGTCCTTGTTTTTGCCGAGGCGATAGCGCTCGCGACTGCGGCATGGGAATTGGGCTTATGCATAAGTCCACTCCCGTTCTCACTGGGCAACGGTGTTAAGTCCAGCGTGATGTACGACGCGCGGCTTCGTTTTCCTTTCGGTGTAGAATACCCAGACGACGGCAGACACACCGCAGAGTTAGGTGTCTCGCTGTCCGAGTTAGAGACGGCTTGCACGGAAGCAGTATGTACGTTGAAAGGGTTTCGTCCGAAGTTGCTTGTCGCTGACCAACTTTAGACACGAATTGCAGTGAAAGTTTAGAGGTAGTGCGCTGAAGACATTGGTAAAGATCATTATCAATGTTACAGCAGACTATATGCATCCATCTGTCGCACAGTGAGCATTGGACGGCCTTGGAACGTGAGGTGACACTCTTCCCACAGTCCACGCACATGGATGTCATATCTTCCAAAAGAAGAAGTTGACCAAAGTCGATTCTCGTCAAAAGTGTCTATTCAAACACTTTTCCTCACGAGAATTTCACCTAATAGGCTCGAAAGTATAGCATGTCAGAAAGAGAAGTTACCGTTGCGCAATGACGAGCATCCCAGCAATGATCGGGAAGCAACGGAGCTGACAAGGGATCTCCCTTCTTGCTCTCTACTACCCCAATGAACCAATGAACCTCCCAATGAACCTACTCTCTATCAACCAATTATCCCATGATCCAATACAGCTCGAGCTTTTATTCAAATTAAATACAACGTTCCAATGCGCTTGCTACATTGTTTTCCATAGGCCGGGAAGCCAACTCAAAGCCGAAGCACTGCGGTCTTGGTTTGTGTTCCTGCAGAAAAGCTGGACGCTCATAGGGAGACAGCCTAGATTCGTCCTTGGAAAGTGACCTGACCTTCGTAGGCGTGTGTTTCGATAGCGTAGTCGATGGATGACTGTGAGCTGGACTTGTTACTTAAAGAGCTGGAAGCTGATTATACTGACGCTTTGCAGTATGTAGATCGTGAGCTAGAAAAGAAGACCACTACATTTGTTGTCGATGACTATGAACGCTTACAAAAAATTGGCCAAGGCACATTTGGTGAAGTCTTCAAAGTTCGGCACAAGTTGACTAAGGAGCATTTTGCTCTAAAGCGCCTTAAAACTGAGCAAGAAACTGAGGGCGTATGTCACTTGTTGTATTATTATTACTCAGTTCCCTGTCACTGCACTTCGGGAAATCCGTATTCTCAGCTCTTTATCTCACGAGAACATCGTTTCCTTACGTGGTGTCTGTCATAAAAAAGGTTGGTATGGATCTTTTGAACGACATTTTTAGCTGCGCGTTCGAGTAGATATCGTTACGAATTCTACCTCCTCTTTGATATATGCGAACATGATTTGGCAGGTCTACTTACCCAGAAAGTTGATTTCTCTCTCGGCGTCAAGAAAAATATCATGAAACAGCTATTCACTGGCTTGTATTTTCTTCATAAGTATGCACATCCGTTCTACCATCACCACGTCATCATATTTTTCTTGTTAATTACTCATTTCGGCTTCTCAACCGGGTTGAGCCTTACTGTATTGGGAGTGTTACCCTTTGTGCACAGATGGACGGTCAGTCACCCCATTTAGGCGTGTCATTGATCACTCGTCGAGTATGAAAATGGATGGCGTAAGGGGTCCATATTTTGTTAAATATTACGATGTATCTTTACACCACTTTTATTTGCCTAAAAGTGTTTGCATTTTATTAAATTGTATTCAGTGCCAGGGACCGTTAGAGCGCCTTATGTGACCGTTTCTTATGCTTATTCCGGCCAAGTTGCACACATTTCGGTCACTCAAAATATCTTTTAGCCTTACTCCTCAAGTGTTGAATAGCTACAATTTTTGTATCTCTTTAGCTTTTTGTTGACGATACTTCTGACTTAAAAGACGCATTCACAGTATTCAGTGAGCGTATGCTTAGATAATGTTTTTCTTTGGGGCTGGAATTCCTCCTGGGTCCAACTGGGACAGTGAGAAGCATGAAAGCAGCTAGTCAAGCCGCTCTATCTGTCACTCCAATGAACATTTTCCGGACATTCGTTTTATGCAGACACCGGCAACTGAGCTGCTCCTACTGCTTATTCCACAGAATTTAGACTAGAAAGTGCATTTTATTCCAGTAGACCAATGAAAAGAAGTGAACATTCATTTACCTAATCTGTGACAGCTCCCAGACGTGCCAAGCGGCACTGAACGGACTAGCACTGGCTGTCAACCGCTTCGGGCTTTGCTTTGCACCATCGAATTGCAAAGCGTTCCTCCAAGATTGGGCTGGACCGCCTCCTTCCTTAACCCTTGGTGGGGATCAGCTAGAAGTCGTTCAAAAATCCAACTACCTAGGAAGTTGTCTCAGCGCCCGTGGGATTGAAGATGAGGTCACGAACCGTATAGCAAAAGCTCAAGGCGCTTTTGCTAACCTTCGCCACTTATGGCGCCGACGTGACATCACTTTCTCCCTGAAGGGTAGAGTGTACAATGCAGCGGTACGTTCGACCCTACTGTACGGTTCGGAAACCTGGCCCTTTAGATCAGCGGACATTAAGAGGCTAGTTACCTTAGACCATCGGTGCCTTCGCAATTTAGCTCACATCTGGTGGGTACACCGCGTGAGCAACGAGCGTGTTCGACGTCTTGCTTACGGCACAGGAAAAGGAAATGAACCGCTCAGCACTGTTATTTCACGCACCAGGCTCCGATGGCTCGGCCACGTGTTACGCATGATAGCCCGCCGACTCCTACGACGTGAGTTGTTTGCGCACCGAGGGTGTAGATAAAAGAAGAGCTGGTCGAGCAATGACTTGGTCGAGAGGAATGAAGGCCCTCAATTCGAAGCTGGCCTCAGTTTAGCGTCTTGGCTCCCTGTTGAGGTCCGAAAGACGCTGTATACCTTTGGCTGGATACACTTGATATGGCAAAGAGCCGACCTCAGTGGCGTTCGTGCTGTGAGTTTCTTTGTCCTACCCCATCCCTCTTAGCCTCCCCCTCCAACCTCGATCTGATTATTTAGCATTTTATAATTTTGCATAGTAAATTAATTTTTTTCTGCTGCATAGCCGGCTGGTAGCTTACCGTAACGATGTCCATCCGTTACCGGTAGCTCAACTTGCTTGCACCTGTTGCTTTTTATTCCGTTTTTTTCCTTTAGATATTGCGGCGCAGTAGCTGATGTGTCTCCCACCTCTAGCTAACGTGCATAGTGTTTGTCAGCTTCAAGTTCAAGTAAGGCTGGAACGATAGGGTAAATCCCATGTGTTCCTTCTTCATCGGGTCGTTGGCCCAGGAATTGATAGAGGTGCTCCGATTTCTTTATGTATCTAAAACGAAACACCCGAAACACACTCGTCCATCAATTTAATGCTCAGTTTTCTATGCATTAACCCTCCCTGCTATGCAGGTTACGTGAAGTACGTAAGAGAGGACGTTAAGTGGAAGGTGAAGAGTAAGGGAAATCATTTGAATGAAAAGGATGCTGCCAATAGTGAGGGAAAGTACGGAAAATAGAATCGACGTATGAACATAGGAATTAGTTAGAAAAAGGGGGTGGTTTCGTGTTGCCACCAAAGAGCATCTAGCTGACACTCAAACCTCTTAACCGTAACTTCCTTGACAACATGTTCTAGAGTTGGGTTCCAACGCTCGATAACTCGACGCGAAAACCGTGTCTCTGCTCCAACTCGATCGGACCGGCGTTTGTCCAGCTTCATGCAATCCTCCCGGAGAGCAGATAACCTAGCATGACTACATAGGCAGGACAAAACAGGTCTAACCTTTCCAGTCAAAATACGGTAGGTTAGGATTATATCCTCTCTTATCCTACGATAGTGCATTGAACGCATCCCAAAACTAATTAGGCTTTCGGGGTACTTTCTTTTTCTTAACCCTTTAACCAACCTAGTGCCGACACGCAACACCATTTATAATGCCATATTGTCCCGGACAAGGCATGGTGGACAGACCTGGACTTAGTATTCTAGGCGGGCTCGCACAAACGCTAAGAAGAGTTTCACACATTAGCGGTTAGGGTGCCGAAAGAACGACCGATCAACTACAACATCCTGGAACCCTTCACTAGCCGCCTTCCAGTTGTCTCCAGAGTAGTGTGAAACACTGGACGGCACCCTAGATCAACCTGATGAGTCACGTGAGTAAGTTCATTCCCGTCGATTGCCTAATTTGTGGAGGAATCAAGCGCTCCGATACACAGTGCTGAACACTGCCCGGTTTGTGGGCAGCCACCTTAAGAGAGACTACTCCAAGAGGCTATATAGAGCCCGTTGAAGGGCCGCATGCCCTCCAGGGACCAACAATATTCCAGAGCTTTAGGTCATCAGCAAGTAAGAGTGGTAGTACCTCAAGTTTCTCCGGCAAGTCGTTCACCTAGACTGCAAACAGCAGTGGACCTAGGACAGCCTTGAGGAACGCCGCTAAGGACAGCTTGTCGAGTCGAAAGACTGCTTCCTACACGAATGTACTCTTCTCGTCCATCCAGAAATGCTGACACCCACTGGTGAGGGCGACCAGATACTCCATACACAGTGAGAGTCACGAATGGGGGACTGTCAAAAGTCTTGGCGAAATCAATGAACACAACGTCCACTGCATGTCCACTCTCTATGGCTTCAGTCAAGGTCTCATGAGCTACCAGCAAGTTCGTTTGACACGTAAATCATTTGCGCGACCCTAAACAGTTTAAAATCATTATAATGGTTCTCCGCCGTATCTTTTCCTGATTTTTCGAGTAACAACCGCCACGCTAGTCAAGCTGACAAGCCTATAAATAGCCGGTTGGTCTTTGTCACCGCACTTGAAAATCGGGCAGACAATAGCCTCCTTTCATTCGGTGGGTAAGACACAGCTGTTGAGTGACTTCTTAAGCACGCAAGTCAGATCTCCACTGAGTTCCGCTGCCAATTCGTTCAGCAATTTCGAATGAACAGAATCTGTCCCGGATGCTTTAGTTGGGTTCACCTTTTTCAGCAATCGGAGAACTTGACACTCGGTCACAATAATTTCATTCAGACGAGAGTCCTCAGAGACTCTTAAAGCAGGTTCGCCGTACGGCGTGTTTGTTTCGCGGACAAAGACACTTTAGTACTGCTCACCAAGCACGCATGCCTTGTCATGGTTGCTATAGGCATGGGTCCCATCCCCTCGAAGCAACGCTGGATTTGGCGAGTTTGCATCACACCGTCATTTAACCTAGGCGAAGAACTTCTTGGGATTTGTCGAGGCAGTATCAACTAAGCCCTTTTCATACTGAACGCGGGTCACTCTAAGTTGTAGCTTGCACTCATTTCGAACTAACCGATGCCTGTCAAGCGTGCCGGTCGACGGCACTTCGATACATCATCATCATCAATAGCAGTACAGCAGTCATTTTAACTGATGCTTCTCTACCATAAAACTGTGATGACCTAAGGAATTAAGAACAATAAGAAGGAGAGAAGGGGGACTTACCTAAAAACCTTAATACCCTAAGCAAACATGCAGGATCAAGGCGCCTACACCTTGTGTTGGCAACATACCGTCACAAACAGCTGGCTATCGCGCAAAGATAAGGCGGTATCAGCAAGACAGCTTCCTTGCGGCTTTCACTGTCCTGCGTCATAATCAGCCATTACCCGGCAGATAACTCAGCACCAAACACACTTTAACCAGGCAGTCCGACTAGGAGGCGACAGCAGACGCGCTACTGGTGTTGGTTGTGAACTATGTTTTGTAAAGTCTCGAGCCAAGCACAAGGTGGGTCACGTGGACTTCAGTCCGGTAGGCGAGACGGACCAACGGCACTCAGTTTTGTCGTCAGTGACTTCATTTCCCGCTACGAAGTCAACTTCTGTCCACCTCGAGCTTTGCACCACCCTACACCTGGCAGACTAAACAAGGCCCTTCTAGGTAAGCGTAGACCAAGCATACATAGCACGTGCTCAGGCCAACGCAACTTATTAATTGCTATTTGTTGTTCTAAATAACTAGCATGATTATTGCTACCTAGTACTCATCTACGCGCATATATATATATATATTCTTTTGTAAACAACTTATTTCATATGCTCACTAATTTAAGATTTATGTCACCGTTTGCTTGCGTGCTAAATCTGTTTATTTCAGGTGGAGGGTCTTCAATTTTGTTCCAATGCTTTGCTTTCTCATATAACTGTCTACTCGTACTTTCTCCTATAAACTTCCACACGTCACTTAAGCCAATTCTAGTCCTTTCCGAAAACATTTTTGTGTTTGTGGCATTTCCGTAAAGTTTGCCTTCTGACCTCGTGAACTTATCTCGCATTCTTCTGTAAACAACTTACTTCAGATGCTCATTACTTTAAGGTATATGTCACCCTTTCCTAGTGAGCCATGAGCGAGGCCACTCGGGACCACTACCGAAGCGACGACGGGTCCTGCAGAGAACTTAGGCAGCACCGGCGCAGCGTTTGTAGGT